TATAATTTATAAAAAAAATAAATATATCAATTTGTTATTAATAAAAAATTTTTTATTTATTTATACTGTATTATAATTATTTTCTAGTTCTAAAATTAATTTAACTTATAAATAAGAATTAAAGTTAAAAATTAAGAAAATAAATTACCAAAAATTATATTTTAAAGATTATAATAAAATTAGTTATCTAGATTATAACTAAAGTCTAAAAAATTAATGAACAAATTATTTTTTGTCTGAAAGAAATAAATTAGATAAGTTATATTATCTTTCTAAATATTTGCAAGTTTTTCATTTAAACATAAATTATTAATATAATATGTATAGAAAAATTTGTATTTACAAAAATTAGATTCTAGATGAATTCTAAAAATAATAAATTTGTTGAATTAATAGGATAATTTATATATTTTTTGTAAATATTCTTTTGTTTAATAAATATTAAGTTAGATTTTTCTATTGTGATTAAATTAATATAAAGTCTTATTTGATAAATTATATTGTAAATTTGGCAAAAAGTTTAAAAATATATATATTAGAAATATTTAAAAACTTGAAATAATCTATAAGTTCTTTAACTACAAAATTTTTAAAATACTTATAAGTAATCTAATTTATAACTAATATTAGATATTATTAATAAACAAATTTTAATTTTTTTATTAAATAAAATAATTAATATATTTATATGATTTTTTTATTATATATAAACAAAATAAAAAATTTATTAATTAATAACTTTTTGAATTTGATTAATTTAATTTTTTTATATAAATTTTATATAATAAATTTGATTAATTTCTGAACAAATTTTTTTGATTTAATATTATATACATTATTCTTAATTTTTTAATAATTAATAATTTAATTTTACTAAAATTTCAAATATATATTTATTATATATATTAATATATTTATATAATATAAATTTATAAGGTTATATATTTATAGAAAAAATATTAATTTTTAAAAAAAATTTTATTAAGAATAAAAATAATAAAAATAATTTAATTAAATTAATATAAAAAAATTTAATTAATAAATTTAAAAAAATTTTACTTTTGTTTTTTGATATTTTTATATTTTTGTATTAGATTATAATATATTTTATTTAATTATTAAACTAATAATTTTATATATTAATATATTAATAAAAATAAATCTTTTAAATATATATTAATCACAAAATAAAGTAATTTTCTTAATATATTAATTTATAGTACAATTAATTTTTAATATTAATATATATATAATAATAATAATTGAAACTAATATAACACAAACAAATTATTAATAAAAATATGAATTTTTCTCTTTATATAAAAGTTTTTAATTTACTAATAAATAGTTTTATTTTTATATTAAAATAAAGATAATATTATATAATTAATATATTTTTAGATTTAATCTGATAATATTGTTTTAATTGCATATAAAATTAATAATTTTTTGTGTTTTTATTATTAACTTTATATGTAATTAGAATAACTTTATCAGATTAAATCTAAAAATCTGAAAAAAATATATATTAAATATATAATATATAATATTATCTTCATTTAAATATAAAAATAAAACTATTTATTAGTAAATTAAAAACTTTTATATAAAGAGAAATATCCATATTTTTATTATGTTTTATTAATAATTTTTTTGTATTACATTATTTTCAACCATTGTATATATATTATTGTTATTATAAAATATTTTAAAAGATTGAATGATCTAATTGGTCATTTCAAAAAGTCAAGTAATCTTAAAATTTTTAAAATTAAAATTAAACTATTCTTGTCATGAATGAAAAAGGATCAGATTATATAATACATGTATTTGTGTATGGTGCATATCATCTAAAGTTATCAAACGTTTGTATTTTATAAAACGGATAAACTTCTTTGCTGGAAAGTAGATACAAATTTAATTCGTAAATATGCTCAAAAAGATTTATTTTATCATATTTACAGATTAAATTTTGTATTTACTTTTTAGTAAAGAAGTATATTCATTTTATAAAATACAAAAGTTTGATAACTTTAGATGGTATGCACTATATGTTCGGAAAATTCTCTAATAATAGAGATTATTGTTAAAGGCTAATTTAAAGATTTAGGGTTATGGCTAGAGCTGGAGCCAAGATTATATGTAAATGCCTTCCCAACACTTTGTTGTGAACCAAGTTGGATTTAGACATCTGTTTCTCATATTTTTTGTAGTTAAATAAAATCTTTTGCAATAATAATATAACCAGAAAAATTACAGTAACTTTCGCATGTTTATGTATTGTTTTTATTCACTGCACTTATATTTGTTTCAGTGACAATATATTTCCTTTGACGATCGAGTAAAAAAACCTATACATGTAGTGCTCCAATCGGGCAGGTTGGGTCAAATCCGACCCGAAATATTTCAGGTCAGCCTAAAAAACGTTGTTTCTCGTTCAATATTAATTCAAATTAAATGAAAATTTGTGGATGTATACACAAAATACAAGTGTTTAAGTAAAAATGAAAGTTGTTAACGAAAACCTATTTTACGAGTTTCGGATCAAACCCGACCCGAACCGAACAGAGCTTTACATGTAATAGCCACTAGGTCGACCAGGGGGTCAGCCGGGGATAAGATCTACATCACGTGATCGATACTTTTTTCCCATGGCTAATTAAACTTTGTGATGTCATTATAAATGAATCCTGAATCTGTATCGATCATAGACCAGTAGCAAATAAGAATGCAGAAATTTTGATCAGACCGGCAAAACAAATCCGACTCAAGAAAAGAAAAAAATACAAGAAATGTGAAAAATACGAGAAACAGGTGCTCAAATCTAGTTTGGAGTGCTAATTAAAAACGTCGAGGAGACAGTTTTATTTATAATCTGTATCTAGCTCTAACCCTAATCTTAAAACCAACCTTTTAATGTTAATATTACGTAGAATTTTCCGAGATCAACAAACCTGGCACAGATTCAGAACGTGCAATGAATAAAATGACTATATATTGTTTGAAAAATATATCGATGACAAATGACATGTCCATTTAAGAAAATATTTCTAAAACAGTTGAAATTAAAATTATACGTCGACTTGTTATCCTCATTTCCTTCCTTTAACTGAGGAATACATGTATTATTTGTCGCATCATTTTTATTTTTTTTGTTTTTCTTTCTGTTTGGACGATATCTGTAATTCGGAAAATGCAAACTATGATTTTTTTGCAATTTCCGCTAGATCTTGCCAGATTTGTTTGCTTTCTGGCTTCATCGAATGCCAAAGCTTTGCTGCCTCTTGCGAATCATTCGATTTAATGCTAAACTCTTTCAATAGCGATAGAGAATTATTCGATTGTGATATCAAGGCTTCAACTGGAATAGTTGTTTTGAAATTTGGGTCATTTTTTATCAATAACAATAGATTTCTTCTAAATAATATAAAAGAGTTTTGTGGACGTGGGACTTTATCTCGAGAATTATTTGATTGTGTTATCAAGTCTTCAATTGGAATATTGAAATCTGTGTATTTATTTGCGTATTAATGTATTTAAAAAACAAATCTCTATTGATATTTACAAAATCTTCAATTGTACCGGTACATTAATACGTATTACGTAATCCAGATGCTAAGATAAAAAATGCTTCGCCAAATTTGTTTTGTTCGTAGGACCACCAGTATTATTAAAATAATACATATTATGATAAGCTATTTTTAATACGATAAAGCTTGAGTCGTTATGATAGAATAATAAAAATATATTAAATTTAATTATTTGTAATCAATCTAGTTTCTGTATCAGAATTTGAATGACAATTCGACAATTAACAATACAATATGAATGACAATATAAAACAAACAACGGTTTATTCTTTAGTTTTACGTAATTCAGTAATGTCCCAACAAGATTCGATAACGGCTTGTGTTGTGCTAGTTACTGTTTTAGAGACTGAGGCAAAGAGTTATCTAAAGTTTGTTTTTATCCGCTTTTTTAATTTATATTAAAAATCAATTTGTAACAAGATACATATAAGTGCTTAATCTATTTTGAAACAAGAAATGCTTGAAAAGATATATGCCGCTGTTATCAATATTATTCCGAGGATTACCTCGTTTTATTGTTCATTCTTTGCTTACAACCTTGATTAAAAATGCGCTTATAACGCCATTTTCTAAACAGATTGATTAAGGAAACACAAACTATCTGGCATGGATTAAAAAAAATCACCTTACAGGCTGTTCTCGAGCCTCGTAAAAGATTAGTACAAGAATTGTTAGTATTTAGCTTTATTGAGTTGTAAAAAGGTGTACATGTATAATTTTTGGTAACGTAATAGTCTATAATATTAACCTGAACTTCCGTGCCGAAACTCGACTGTATTGAATAAATCAGTTCCAACTTCGAATTATTCTACATGATTATAAATATATTAAAAAAAAACAATGCGTACAATAACGTTACATAAATGTGTCTGCATATCGATACGTAAAAGGGTACGTACCTGGGTGAGTAGTTTCATTTTTTTTGTTAAAAAATTCGTTGGCTTTGATTATTACCCACTGAATTTTCTTCTTAATTCGACCAAACTCAAACTTCGTATATGACGATAGTTTGTTAGATGATATTTATATTTTTAATGTAATCCGGTTCGATGCTATTACGAAAAGGATAATACAGTATTATCTAACGCGTAAATCTTCCAAAAAATCTTAGCGTTAACAATAACGATAATACGTACAACACAAATCGAATGATATCTTACATATTTAACGTTAATACTAGACTTCTTTTACGTAATTATTATTTATTTGATATTAACAGTATTGTATATTGTAAGTGACTTTCTCTATTTAAGTAAATAAACACTAAAACCGAGATTAAATCATCCTTTTGAGTTCCCACAGAAAAACAATAGTCGAGATGACTAGTAAATTTCTTAAAACTTTTGCTGGTATGATGATAGATGATAATTTCTTTTCTCACAATTGATAATAATGTTTTTATTCTCTTACTATCATTGGAAAGGTAATGATAAATTTTACTTTCATGCCACACCACAAGAACTTTTGAAGATAGATGAGAATTTTTCAGTGATTGGAATTTGCCACAAGCGAAGCCAAGGTAATTGATAGACTACGTATATCACTTTTTTCCAGTCATTAATATTATTAATAGAACAAAAATAAAGTTTGGGGCAAGGGAAAAAACTATGACTACGCTAAAGATTTGGAAAATGAATTAGTGAATAGATTGAAAAAAAATGAATTTAAGGAATCATTAAAAAATAACAATTTGGACAATAAATTTGTTAAACACTTGCTTCGAAGGGTGTTTGAAGAGGTAGAAAAAAATGCAGTGTTTGAAGAAATTAATCAGCACAAAGAAATCATAACGGGGTTAACCGCTACCATTCTAATACTTACTTCCAACACAATATATGTGGTAAGTGAATTTTGAATTTGTTTTTTTTTGAATTATTAATAAAGGTATTTTTTTGCGAAAGGCTGGAAAAGGCGAATATAAAATCGCGTTTTACATTCTTGGAAGAGATGGAGAAACCAAAAAAAACTTTACTGATTGTGGTCAAAACATGCATTTTAAGAGTTTTTCAAGCGAGGAAATTATTCTTATTTTATCATCCAACATGTCTCTAGGTAATTTTTTTTAGATTGTAAAGGATAGTTCTGTCATTATTGGTGACTAATCTTTTTTTTATAAACTTTCTAAAGACTTTGTGGCAAAGGAGACAAATGGCGTAGTGTACACTTACAAAGTTGATCCTATCAAGAATTTCTTTTTTTTCTTAAACAAGAAAAGAAAAGAAAAAGAAGAAAATAAAATTAACGACGATAAGTGCTTAGAAGAGAACTTGAAAGAATTTGCAAAATTCTATTTGACATCATCAGAAACATACGGGTGGCAATTCAGTGAATACCGTTTTCCTTTCGATGATATTATCGCATTTGTAGCAATAACAATAATTCGTTTAGAGGGTATAGAACTTAAAGATTGGTCTAAAATTGCAGCTGAAAATAAAACTAAAAAAATAAAAGAAGTGGAAGAAAGTTGGCGATTCTTAGGAAAAAAGAAATTAGATCTTAGTTCAAGAAAAAATTCAAGCAACCCAAGGAATGCAAGAATGCCATCATAAAGAGCATGACCAACGATAAGAGTGTTAATATAAAACAATTATTTTATTGTAGAAATATAATATTTATAAAAATAATAAATCAATGTATAATTGCTAGCGCTAGTGCTAGTAAAAAGATGTTACTTTCTCTGTTTTCGATTGATAAAGTACTGTAACCGAAACCTCTTGAAATTATTGGTTGGCTTATTTTTCCCATTAGTTGATAAATATAGTCTTGTCTATTCATGGTTAGTTTCTTTGGTTATTTTCCCTAAAATTAATATTTTATTAATTATATGTAACTATAATTTTGTATTGTTCAAAGTGTATTAAAAATTTTATTCATATTCATAGTGTTGAATACACACCGACAATAATACACTCGTCCAATTTCCACTCACAAAACCATACGCATCAAATAAACTAGCCACGTTGTTATACGCAACAAGTAATCCCTCGAACCACGTTTCATAGTCGAAAGGATTTAATAGTTGCTGATCAGGTTAATGAATTACGTAGCGGTAGCGGTAGCGGTAGTAACAATTGGATTTCAAACCTATGGTAAGCCAAATTTATGTATTTTCCATTCGGTCGCTCTCGAATTATCCTTTCTCATACCCACGAATTTCTTGAATTTTTTCAACAATGGTATTACGTATGATATCAAATGGTGCAATCAACACAGACATTTCATGATATCAGAACTATAATTCTTACTAACTGAAAAATTCGTGTCAAAAAAATAACAGAGTTAATCTAATTGATAATATTTTGGTCAAAACGCTTGAACCAAGAATGAAAGGAAAAATTTAGTTTAGTCTGTCTACGTTTCATTCCCACTATTCACCAAGCATAGATTAAGAAGCGACATCTTTATGTCCACGAATCATAAGAGCCTCCATAATGTTTGTTTACTTTTACCATGTTCCAGTCAGGTCTGGCATGAAAGCTTTACACATTATGCGTTGATCTTTAAAACCTTCAATGAACTTCTTAGAAACATCAGCTTAACTGGACAGATGGCATTATTATACGTATCGCGACATGATGCGATAAATCTAATAATAAAACTGCAATAATTATAAAAATTAAATAACAAAACGATTAACCTATTAATAACTCGTAGCGATTGTATGACCAATCCTTTAAAAAAATAAATAAAGGAACACTCTCATCCCCCGGCGTTTCGTTACTTCGAGGAAAGATCATATTTTTGAATTGAAAGGGAAACTTTATTAACCCCAGCTAATGACTGATGTGAACTGCGTCGCTTTACTAAAAATAGAGATGCGCTAAAGCGTGGTGAACATGTGATTCAGTCCCTCTAAATTTTCAGTGTGCAACCGATTGGTGATTTATAAGATCAGGGTAAGGGTAAAGATTAGATTTAGAGGACAAGGTTATATATAAAATTGACTTTCTAACATTTTTAATTAGTATCCCAAGACAGGTTTAAGCATCGGTCTTCTTGTAATATTAACATTTCTCACATTTTTCATATCTTGTGTCGGATTTGTTTTGCCGGGTTGAGCAAAAATTTGTGGATGGATTACACATGTTCAGCGATTCAGCAAAAGCGAATCTGACATCTACAGGTACTTTCATTTGACGACCCATCGCTACGGATTAAGTGCTTAAAATTACACAGAAAATCTTTGGGGTAGTTAACAAATACGTACGTAGTTGCTGGATTTCCCATACGTATCTTTAGGCTGTGTAGATACCCTAGCTACGGCAAAACAAGTGTCGGTTTATGTGATGTTGAACCAATCCAACCAATAAAAATGCGCAAAAATTCTGCGCAACCAATAGGAATATAGCAAATGTTTGATCAACTCGGCAAAACAAATCCGGCACAAGAAAATGAGAAAAGGCAAAAAATGCGAAAAATATAAAAACAGATATCTAAATCTAGCTTGGCGCACTATTAAAAATGTCGGGAAGACAATTTTATATACAACTCTAATCTCAGCTCTAACCCTAACCCTAATACTTGATATCTAATATTTATCGGATATTTTAATGAACCTATTTTAGATCACATGATCTGACACTTTTTTTGCTGTAATTAGAATATCTAAAACTTATCTAGGCTATGTTCGCATGTAAATGTATTATACATATAGACTGGTAATACTCATCTGAATACAGTCTATTCAAATACATATACTATATAATGCTATTTATAGTCTTCCAGTTTTATTTAAACTCTTTTTCTTCTTGAACTTGAATAGTACTTCTTCAGATAAAAAAATTTGCTTATCAACAAAATGGGATACTATCTTGGAGAATACTGTTATAAGTTTGTTCACTAATTGAATCTGGATTGGAAGAGAGTGATAAATTGATAAAATACTAAAATAAAAGAAGGTGTATCTAAAACCTATGCCAATTTTTACAGAAATTGTATTTACTTAAAAAAAAGAATAACAATATGAAAGAATTGTAGGAGAGTAAAGATCAAAAAAGAGAAAGGATATAAAAAAATAATAAAGAGAATTTGAAAGAGTGATTCTGTACTTGCATAAAGCTTTTCAGAACTAAGATAATATAATTAATAATAATAATAATAACAAAAATTCTTTCACTTTGTTCTTCTCACAGGTAAGAAATATTCATTAACAATTAAAAATTCAAATAACAAAAAAGTAAAATACTTATAATTCAATTTTAATAATTCCAATATAGTGATGTGTTTAATATAATATAATATAAAGCTTAATAATTTAATAGTAATTTGTTCAGCACAATATAATATAAAGTTCAAAATCAATAACAGCAATTTGCTCAGTGCAATATAATATAAAACTATCAGTAATTTGATAGATTTAATACAATATAAGACTACTTATACACAAGATTTAAAGTATATAAAAAAAATATGAGAGGCAGAAAGTATTTGGAAGAAGATTTTTGTTAAGAAAGATTTTTATTTTCAATTATAACATGTTGAATTAAGACTCAGATGATATTTCTATTTATATATTTTCAAAAATACAATTTCAATAATAATAATTATCTAATTAATAATAAAAAATAATAAAAAATGATTAAATTAAAGAAAAATAATAAAAATAATGAAAAATTGATAAAAAATAATAAAAAATAATGAAAAAGTGATAAAAAATAATAATTAATAATAAAATTAATGAAAAATAATGAAAAAGTAATGAAAAATAATGAAAAATAATGAAAAATAATGAAAAATAATGAAAAAGTGATGAAAAATAATGAAAAATAATGAAAAATAATGAAAAAGTGATAAAAAAATAATGAAAAAGTGATGAAAAATAATGAAAAATAATGAAAAATAATGAAAAAGTAATGAAATAATGAAAAAGTGATAAAAAATGATGAAAAGTAATGAAAAAGTGATAAAATAAATATTTAATATATTATTTTTGTTATTTCTTAGAGATTATTATTTTTTTAAAGATTTTTGATATTTTCAATTATTTTTCAAATTCAGAATTTTTTTTGAATTTAAAATTATTATTACTACTATAATAATATTATAAGTAATATTATATATATATATATAATATAAATATGAAAAATTTATATAATATATTTTATTATTATAATTTATCATAATATTTTAAAGTTTATAATAAGATCTATATATATTGAGAGTTAACTAATTTTGATAATATAAATAATAGACTTTTTTTATTTAGATATTACTAATATAAATTATATTTAAAATTAGATATATTCACATAATATATATATTTTATATATATTCACATAGTATGTATATTTTATATATATTCACATAGTATGTATATTTTATATATATCTACATATTTTGTTTATTTTAATATTAAATAAATATATAATATATAATTAATCAAACTCTTTTAATAATATTAATATTATTTAATAAATAATAATTATTTAAATTTTAAATTTTATTTTTAATAAAAAACAGATATTTTTGATACATATACTTTGTAACAAAAATTTAATTTGGCAAATCAAATGAAGATATTGAAAACTTTTAAATTTTTAAAAAGCAAAGCTATTAGATACAATTTGTAAAGATATTTAAATATACATAAAATTAAATTAAATATTAATAAAATAATTGAAGAGTATTTGAAAATAAGTTTATATTAATATTAATAATTTTTCTAATTAAGTATTAATAATAATATTGCAAAGATCTTTAGTGATTGAGTTGAATTTACAAATATTTAATTTTATAATGTAATTTTATCAAATATATTCAATACAAGAATCATATTACATGTAATAAAAACAAATCTAAAAATAAGAGATATTTGGAATTTATTTGATAAAAAAATTATAATCTCAGAACTTCCTGTTAAATTTGAGAAATTTATTAAGTGACTTGTAATAAATAATAATTATAGTAATAAAAAAATACAATTATAATAAATTAATAAGAGAAAAATATTGGATTTTCACAATTTTGATTGGTAAAATATTTATATTATTTTTTTAAAAAATTCAATTAAAATTGCAAAACTCATTTTGCTTTTTAAAAATAAAATTATGGAATAATTCCACTTACAAAAATAAAGATATTATATAATCTATTATTGAATATATATATATATTAAATAATATTTATTTTTATTGAAATTGATATTTATTTATAAATTATACTTTTAGAATATTTACTGTATAATTCATTGTAGAGAAATCAAAAACATTAAAAAAAGATGACTTTTAAGGTTACAAGCCAAGCTTACCTAAAAAAATGCATAAATATGAATTGATATTTGGAGATACTTTGTGTGGTCCAAATTATTCCAATAGTAAAACTCACATATTTGATACTAACTTAACTTATATTTTTTGTTAGTGTGTTTTGTAAAATTTTTACTTATGGATTATAAATTCTTTCCATTTGGTAGAATTTGAAGTCTGAAGAGTATATATATCTGTAGAAGAAAGCCAAAATTCATTAGTATATATCAAGAAAATGTGCAGAATCTTATATAACTATCGTATATTTGTTAAAAAAAATGGACAAAAAACTACAGTCAGATCCCTCTATAGACACACTTGTTTATAGTCACATCCCTTTATATTCACCCTGTTTTGCTTTCCCATTTATATATAAACATAGTAAAAAAACCCCCTTCTATATTCACCCAATTTTGTTTCTTGAGGGTGGGACTTTAGAGAGGTTTGATTGTAGCATTTTTAGGATCTTACACTCCACCTATTCATTGGAAAAGAAGGCTATGAAACACCACAAAGATTTAAAGAGTTATTACACACATGCATTACAAATTTAAAATACAAAATCGAATTATCGTTATCTATTTGCAAAATTAAATTTGGTTCAAGTTTGAATAAAAGATTTTATAGTAAATGTCAAAGTTGTCAAAGTGTATATAGTAAATGTAGCCAACGAAATCGTGAATGTATTGTCAAAAAAATAAAGACCGCTGGAAATATTTTAATTATCATAAACGAATTTATTAAAATAGTATTGGTATACAATACGAGAATTTTTTGACATAATCGTATGTGATCATAATTTATTTACGACGAATACAGATATTAAAACATGTGTGATAGAACAACGGACTACGTACGTACATACGTACTGGCATTTCATTAAATGACGAAATTAGCAAGATCGATTTTATTCGAAATGAATTTTATCCGGATTCTCAACACGAAATAATAACAACGAGAACTACAAGCCGCCAACAACTTTTGATAACAATACCGATACTCTATTACAAAACGTGCATCAACATGAAATTCATAGACCTATTCGTAATAATAAGAATCAGGAGAAAAACTGAACCTCCACAAGATATGGTAGTGACAGTCCCGCCACTGCACATCGAATGATACCGTAACTAAATTGGCCACCGTCAAAAGAAAGGCTGTCGAAGGTGATGATGACGGTGCGGATAAAAAAAGGAAAGTTGCTACCACCCAGTTGTAGCATTACCTCTTCGATTGGCGCATAAAAATCAAAATGATGATATAATACCATTGCCACTAAAAGAAAGGTTGTTGACGCGAACAAAAGTAAAAATAAAACAATGATAATAATAGCAGTTAAAAGAGAAAATTGCAAAAATCTACATGACGCGAAATTGACTTTGTAGATACATGGACAAAGAATATCACAACAAAGAATTTCCTTTACACCTTCACCTCACTCAGTATCAACTTTCAGACACACCACTTAATAAATCAAAGGTCCATCATAAGTTCCATGAACTTCGTTTCTAATGTTCTAATGTAAAAAGTGAAAAATTCAGTAAGATATTTTATTGGAAACATAATGATAACATACCGAACTATTAGCATCATCATCATCATTATAATAATAGCAAAAGACATTTCTGATAAATCATTTATTTGACTTTGAATTTGTAAATCATGGTCGTAATGTAATACGTATTTAGTAATTTGTATTTTCGTGTTAGGATTTCGAATTAATTCAACACAATCCTTTGTATTTCCACTGTAAGCTCCATTTTTTTGGCAGTAATAAGCACAATCATTGCATCTGCATTTTGACATGATTGATTATAACAAGATTTAAGATTCGATTTACAATTTTCTTTTTCTATTGGCAGTTAAGCTTTGAACAGATTATGAACTTTTGACAATAGAAATTTGTCTCTTTTATACAGTAAGAAGTTGATTCTTTTTATAAGGCCATGTCTCTTACTATCAGAATACTCTCCGCTGTTGGTCGTGCGTGATTATCATTCAGAAAGTTGAATAAGAAACTCGACTGGTAAAGCCAAAACAAAACCAAAAAGGAAAATTCGTCATTTCGATTTGTACTGCGAATTCTTTAAAACGGATTAATAATATGATAAAGTGGAACGAGTACTCGGGGCTTGCTAAAACTATTAGGCAGGACTAAAAAAGGGAATTCACAGACCAAGCAACTATTCGATCCAAAAATGATCATTTCTTTTGACTAGACAAAAAAAACCTGCCTAGTACGTACATTTTCTTTTACTACTAATTTAGAACCGTTCACAGCTTGTTTATGTGCCTTTTGTCTAACGTCTCTCTTTGTATTGGATTGCTTGAGAACGTGTAATAATCTTACGCTAATGGCTTTGACGACTAGCGTTACCTTCCTTGTCTAAAATTGGATGTTAATATAACGATAAACAATTTATTCATAGCGTTATCACAAATTTAATCAATCGCAAGATTTATCGGTTAATCATTTCAAATCAACAAATAAAACCATTTCTTTGTCTTTTTGTTTGCATAGTTTTTACCAAAGTTATAAATTTACTTTTATTAGATCTTAATAATTTGATTGAACTTTTATAATTCTGTCACAAATTCATTAATGCCAGATAAATTACACCCTAGATTTCTGGTCTTCAACCAACCAAATACTAAATTTTTAATGATGTAATTGAGCAAATTTTTGTAAACGCAAATTGTCAAATTTTGGCACGCACTACGTATGTAATCATGTTGATCCCGGCCGTTATTGTGTCATAATTCCGGGACACTTTTCTGTAATAAAGGTCATCTTTCCATTGTAACATGAAAAATGAATACACAGATAATGAGAATTTTTTGCTTTTAACGAGAATATGCATCAAAACATCGAATAATTGTAATAACTCGCTGTTAGTTTAGCAACATATTCATTATTTAAGTATTTTTTTTTGCAAAATGCTAAAAATTTTGTTATGCAATTTCGATAAGCTTTATTAAGTCTCTCTTTGAGTGAGTGAGTGAGTGAGTGAGTGAGTGAGTGAGGGGAATGATTTTAAATTAAAAAAAAATTATAAAATAATAAGCAATTCTTCTCGAGAATAATTTGTTTTACATAGTAATAGAAAACAGCAATTATCACGATAACGTCTATCCCATTCCAAAAATCACATTATCGTTATTGGACGGATTTGATTATCACTGTCCCAGTCCCGCTTGATATGCTATTTAAAGATACGTAATAACTTGCTGATAAAATCAAGAATGAGTGCAAGCAATTGAATATGAAATGCACATCGCGAGAATTATTGAACTAGAGGCAGAAATTTGCAAATTTACTATAGAAAATAGAACAGTAGAATGGCAAAAGAAAGGAGAGAGATTACATTTTTCTCGAAAACCCTTTTGTCGAACTAGGTACAAATCTACATGCTATCATAGAAAAATAACATGAAACGTGTACGAGTTGCAACACAACTTTATTCCGAGAGCAAGAATTGTGCATAAACCGCTCATTTGAAAATGAATTGTACTACTTGTTTCCGCACAGAACAAATAATATTGTTCTCAAGGAACGGAATTCGTTCAGTCATCAAACTTTTGCTTAGATAAAAAAGTATAAATAGACTTTCTGTTTGCTAGCATTGACGCTCTTCTTTATGAATAGCAGTTTACAATAGCTCTCATAATATATATTTGTACACTAAATAACAAATAAATTTATCAATATGACTGATTATTTTGTCGACTTTATTAACGATGTTCCAGATGAAACTCTAACTTTTGGCGTTTATCAAAAGTAATTTGACATTCTTTTTATCGATAAGTTGTCTATTTTCGCTCATATTTAGTGAATTAAATTAAAAAATATAGATTTCCAAATACACCTGGTATTGACTCTGTCGCTTGGTTGAGAGCTGATGTCCCCGAAAGTGGTTCAGCTGGAGTAAAATTCACTGAAACTTATTGTGTCGTAAACGCAGACTACTCCGATGATGATGCAAAAGGAAGATACAAAGCTAGTCAAACTTTCGATACTAAACTCGGAACAGCCTGGAGGCTTATCGAGAAGGTAATTTGGTTTTATTGTACTCGTAACAAAAGTACATTCGTGATCCTTATTAAATATCATTATTTTATAGAATGGAGTCTCACAATTCGACAAAAAGATTGACCCGTCAAATGCCGACAACTTAATCGTCATTAAGAATGCTTCAAAGACAACCGCTTCCTTGGGTATTGGTATGTCCGGAAAACTATCCGCTATCAAGGTAAAAGATTATCGTATTCTATGATCGTATTCTATTCAAATAAAATTTCTTAATTTCTTGCATTCGTTATAGAGAAAAGTATATGTTGATGCCACAGCAGCTTTCAAAGTTACTCCGACCTTCTACGTTGGTGTTTTCACAGATCTAGAAATCGGAGATGTAAACACATTTACATTTTATGACTTTAACTAATTTATTAGCACGCTAACATTTATCTTTGTTTTTTATGACCAGATTATCACTGATGATGTGATTCTCGCGTAAGTATTTTTTTATCCATGTGTATTTATCGAAACGAAAAAACTTGAACAAATTCCTCTTTTAACCTAATAGCAATAAAAAGATTGTGTTTGACGGAGATAATGTCGCAACAATTCGAGCCTATCTTAAAGGACACGTGTTCAATATTGACGTGGCTTATAGCAATCGCGCATCTTCAAGCTTGTAATCTATGACGGATTTGTTTGTTGGCACTTAGCGTTAGAGTGTAAATGTGGTTAGTCAAAGGCTATACTATCAATTGAAATAATAAATTAAAATAATGAAATAAATCCATGATTAAATTCCTTATGTTAATTAAAGACGCGCTATTATTATTGAATAATAAAGTATTAAAAGATTGACCGGTGACTTTGGTAAATTAGAAACTTACGACATTAGCTCGTCTTTATACAAAATCAACACGCGCTTCACCAAAATGTAATAAATTTCGTGTTTGTAAAATAGGCTGATTTGAGATGTTCAATAAACTCGGACTGTTCCTCCTCTAAATAACGATGAGAATAATTGACCTAACCTTCGTACACGCAAACTTGGTCTATGATCTTGATTGGTACTCTAAAAAGGCTTTTATTTCAAAGTAATTTTAGAAATGTCAAATAAGGTGCTAAGTTAAGCTCGTAATATTCTTTAAGACATATTTATAATTCGTACGATATAAAAATGATCAATCAAAAAAGTGTTTATTAGAGAATTCTCTAAAATGGAATTTACAAGAATCTTTTTTCCAAAGAAATTTACATCCTGCTTTTGAAACTATATTTAGCTTGAAGTTGAGGGGGGTTTTTGCCAACAGGTGGAGATAATGTAATCGTAGCATAGTTAAGTTCTCCATCAAATCTAACAGTGATTTTGTTTTTTAGCATGTTTCCACTAGTCGATTCATCTGCGGAAATGCCAACAAAGAATGTCGGTGTTTCAGATAATTCAAAGGCTGCGCGTGTATCGACCCATACGTTACTTTTTATCACGGCAATAACATCGCTAGTAAATAAACCAAGAGCCACTTTATCTCTTGAAGAATTCTGTAAAATTACAGAGAAACAAAATATTTTAGCCGATAGCGAACACAAATTTTGTCAGATACCGTAAAAAAAGCATCATTACTTTAATAACCAGAATATTTGGTTTTACACTTCCAGATGGAAGTTGATTTAGTTCCGGTTTTCCATCCTAAGAAAAACAAAAACAAAATTGCATCAAGATAAATATACATTAGATATAAACAAAGCTTTTCTTTCTTGATGACTACTTGATCACGTAATTCCCAAATTGTGCCGAATTCAGTATCTACACGTTTTTGGTTTACAAATGGATCTTTATCATCAGCGGTTTCATATTTAGAAGTAGCTATTTGAAAAATTCCAGAGTATATATGTGTATCAATGGAATTAGCCTTGATCAACTGTTTGTATATGGGCAAATACGAAATCTGATGTCCGGGTGACCTATTAAAGATTCACAGTTTCGTGACTTATACAATTATTTAATTTAATTTTACCAGTCAACAGCAAATTATACATACTTTACAAAAATATGAAACCACCAAGGATTAGAGTCATTGTTTGTAAATTCAAAAGTACAAGTTTCGTCAGTCATAATTCTTTAGAAAGATGAGTATTGTTTGGGGAAACCTTTAATATATATACTGTACGTATACTGTTCAGTATACATGTATCATAATTAGTAGTACATGTATATGTATTACAGACCAACATTGATCGACATGCAGCAAAGCGAGAATTGGATTACCCGCACATTTTGAATCATCAATGTACATGTACTATCACTATGGATAATACATGTACTCTGCATTCCATTTGTCCAAATCTATAACACGACTAGTACACTCGGTGGACAAAAGTTTACAATCAGCAATGATCTACAAATGTAGACCACGAAAATTAGGGTAACTTCGA